ATCATTTTTAATTTTAAAAGCATTTAATTTTTAAGTTAACTCACCATTCATATCTTATGTATGGAACATTCTAAGCAATCAAGAGATGAGGTGTTTCAACTTTCATTATTAGGAGCATTCAACTCTTAAACAGATTTTTTTTCAATTTTTCATTCAATTCTTTGTTATCCTATTTCAAGGTTTGTATGCACACTTTTCAAAGACTTATATTTTTTAGCAAGTTCTCAAATTGACCCAACATTTCATCATACTTATGTAACTCATCATATGAAGTGTATACCTCATTGTCGGAGTTCTCGTCTTTAAAAATGTGAAAAATCATCTTTTGCCATGAGACAAATATATGTCTTTATCTCATCCTCCGCTTGAGCTACTCTTTGACTTCTCATCTCCGCTTGAGATGTCCCATGTTGCTTTAAAGCTCTTGCTTCTTTCTTTTTTCTCCTTGTTCAAAGGGCATTGTCTCTAAAATTGTGCGGTTTCCTTAATGAATAGCACACTCAGAATTAGAATAACTAAATTTACCTTTTTCTTATCTTCAGAGAGTAATGATTCCTCTTGCTTAGGAACTTCTGGCCATCTTTGGATTTGAGAAACGATTTGAATCCTTTTACAATATGACTCATTACATCTTTACTTTCATCTTCTGAACTTGAACGTGACTTCGCTTTGACCTTCTTAGCTTTTATAGCTAAAGATTTCCTTTTAGGAGCATTCTCAACTTGTTTATCTCACTCTCTCATCCTTCTCTCGTGTGTAATAAGGTTACCGACAAGATTTTCATCAGTCATTTTAGATAATTCATGTGATTCTTCAATGACAATTACCTTTGCATCTCATTCATAAGGTAGAGATGATTTCGCGGATGAGTTCATCCTTGGTGTATTCTTTTCGAAGTGCTCTTGACTTGCTCACAATGTCGGTAAATCTTGTGAACATCTCTTGTACTGTCTCCGGTGCCTTCATCATGAAGTTCTCATGTTGACTAATGGGCATCGCAAGTTTGGCTTCCTTCACTTGAGAAGTTTCCTCATTAGTGACTTTTAACATTTGCCAAATTCCCTGAGTAGTTGTACAATCAGAAATACGATTAAATTCTTTAGAATTCAAAGAACAATACGAGGAATTCATAGCTTTAGCATTAACAACATAACAATTTTTCTCAATAACATCTCATTTGTCCTTAGGTTTGACAATTGTGTTCTCCTCTACGGTGATAGTAAGATTGTTATATCCTGACTCAACAATATTCCACACATCATAATCGGTTGAAAGAAAGAAAGAAAGACCACTCTCATTCTAGCTTTCCAGTGGGTAAAGTTAACCCTACTAAAGAGAGGATCGGTTTATAGCATAACCTTCAGGGAAATCAATTGAGGACCCTAGCCTTGCCATTTATCTTTAGGATGTTAAGCCTAACAAGGATACACCACTCTAATATCACTGTTGGAATCTAGATGTAAGCCTAGAAAGGGGTTGAATAGGGTTGAACACTTTTTCAACAACAAAAGCAAATGTCACATATATGTAGCAAAATTAAAATAAATTAGAGCAACCACACAACCACCACGAAGACACGAGAATTTTATAGTGGTTCAGATAAATCCTACATTTACTCTTCCTCCTTGTTAGGAGGGGCTTCCACTCTGTGTGAAGGAATTCCTGGATCACAGCCTAATCCAGTATACATGACTGCACACAAGACTTAACCTAAATCTAGTAGTCTCTGCCAACAAATCCGGCCATACAAGTGTATACCCTAGCCCTACCTAGTATCCCCAATTTCTCGATTGACATCGTCTTGAGTACGCCGTACAAAACCAACTGATCACACAATTGTAAAATAAGTGTTACAAAAAACTATATCACTTAAGCGCAATGAAAGATCTTACAGCCCTTTTAATTGCAAACCATTTTTCAAGGGATTTGAGTGAAGTTGGAAGAACAATACCCGAGAGGAAACTAGGACTGGCTGCACTCCACGACGAATCTGATAAGATGTTATAAACAACTTTAAGGACATGCATGAAATCCAAGAGGCCGAGAGATGGTGATAACGCTGGGAAAACTCTCTTTCAAACCCTTAAAGACTTCTCTCATTTTCTCTCTCAATAGAGTTCTTTCTCCCTACAGTTTCTCTCTTCTAATTCTTTAGAAAAACAGCTCTAGTGATGCATATATAGTTATCCCAGATTCCCAATGAACGATCCTGATTGCATCTCTCAAAAGAAATCAATATTGCTGAAAATTTGCAACCAGCGACTGGTTTACTGTAGCTAACTATTGTAGCCAGCCGGCTAGAGCATTGTAGTCGGCTGTCTGATTTTAAGCTGTAATGTATGTGTTGCTGCTTTGATAATCTCAGCTGTCTGATTTACTGTAGCCAGCCACGTGATCCCTTATCCAGCCATCTGAGCTACTGTAGTCAGCCGTCTGATTTTAACCCTATAACAATTGATCTACTGTCACTAGAATTTCAGCCGCCTGACTACTGGACCCACCCAGCTGATCTTTTGTTTTGCCTTCAGCCATGTGCATGTTTCAGCCAACTCGTGCATGTTTTCAGCGTCTCCTCTGAGATTCCGGCCAGCTAAAACATTATTTTTGCAGTTGTTCACTGTATACAACTCCATCTTCTCACCATCTTTTCCTCTCACTTTTGGACAACTTCAAACACTCATTTAGGAGTATTTTGACACTTTCGTAATCTGCACAATTCAACTAGAACATGTTAAATACAAATAAATGTTTGTTATTGATGAAACCAAGTCGATTGCATGGACATGGTCCTAGCAGATAGCAGTCGGTCTAGCACAAGGGCTGGAACTAAGACGGAAAGGAGTTCAAGAAGTAGAAGGGTGTTGATTAATGCTACTAAGATTGACATGAATCTTCATAGAGTCAACCACCCCCACCCCCAAAAAACAAAAACACAAAAAATTAAAAAAGAAATTCTGGAATGAAAGGGTTTGTTTGTCTTTTGTTTTATGTTTAGGGAATTATACATCGATTTTTCAAGCATTCACAACCTATAGTAGCTGTAGTTCCATCATGACTGGAAATTTACTCGTCTCACCTAAACTCCCACCCACCACCAGGAATATCTAATAATGCTTTGCTGGTGGTGGTGGTGGTATTATTGTGTATGTGCACTTTTCCGTGTCCGCTAAATGATATGTCTCTTCTGCATGAATTCACGATTGATAGGTGTCATAGAATTTTCACCATGACTGGAGTTAATTGTCTTGTTTAGCTGACTTTTCTCCTACTGACTTCAATTGTCTTTCCTTGCTACTAATTTTCAGTAAGTCTTCACCGATCGCAGATACTACATCTATTCTCTTAACATATTCACATCATTTCATTGCAGCTCAGAGCTGAATCTTTACTGATTTATGCAATTTATTCATCATCCTTTTCATGCTACATATGAAAAAATATCTAGGATATTTACTTTGTGTATGACCTCTTTCAGATTCAATTAGGTAAAAGACATCAAATCACACATGAAACCACTCATTATCATCTGTCATGTTCCAAGAAGCATGGACGCAGACACATAACACATTTACAACAAGGACATGGATGCAGGACTTCCCGATACGAGGACTGAAAAGCAAAGCATTAGAATATAACAATAATAATAATGATTATAGTAATAACAACAACAATAATAATAAGAGATTCAATCACACATGTCCATGCATCCGAGAGTCTAGGTAATTATTTCTAATAACATAAAAGAATACAAGATTGATATATGCTAAAAGATTTGGTTATGACTTTAGAAAAACATATGATCAATATTTAAGACTTTTTCCACTAAAATATAGTTTTCGATGTATAAATCAAAATAAACAAGTACGTGACGTACGTCAAACAGTATTATAAAAAAGAAGTACATATGATCAAGATGCGTGTGAGAAGCATTCTAAATTAGAACATGTTATATAATTAAAGACATGTGAGAAGCGTATGGGTACATAGGCAGTTGCGACATGCATGCATAAGCTTTATCAAATCCCAAAAAAGAAAAGAAAAAAAAGACATATTTGAGAAGTGTTCAACATTGTCCAAGGAGTATCCAATTAAGTTCCATTATGTCCGATGTGGTACAAATTCATAATAGAAGTATCTATGCTACATGGACCATGTTCATATGATGTGGGTTGTTGGTACTTATATTTTAATTTTACGAGATTAGATTTTTCTTATCTCCTCAAAAGAATGTGTTTTAAATGAGTAGTTGTTGCTTAAATTTATTCTGTTGAGTGACATGTCTTAATTGTTTGTGTCAATACCAAAAGCAGGCTTCTGACTGTCAGGATTTTACATAGAACTAGGTACCATGTGCTCTTGATAATTGAAGAGGTGTATATTCATCATAGAAATGTCACCTCTAAATTTCTAAATTTGAAAACATTAATTGTGCCATCTATCCTTTATTTCCCTCTAACTTATGTACTTTCATGTTATTGTCTATCTCTAGTCATCATGTTGCTTTCATAATAGTCTGAGGTTATTTGAGGATTGTCCTGCACTAGTCTGTCGAGTGATATTTTATGGGGTGCACCACCATAGCATGTGGTGATCTGGGGGTTGTACAAAACTAGTGTTGCGAGTGATAGCTTAATCCATGAAAGAAACCATGACGAGTGTGATTTATGGATCAGGGAGATGTGGTGTAGTTTTGTATATTGTTGAGGCAATAAATATGGGGCAATACTTAGGAAAATACTTATATCCACTTTTCATCTTTTCTCAAATAACTTCGTTTTTTTTCACGAGTTTGAAGGTATTGGTTATAGAAAACATAGTTGTACACACCTTCATATTAGGCAAGTTTTTGTGAAATAATGGCTATTAAATTTTTTCCCCTTAGCTCAAGAGTTTTACAGTATTTATCTTCTGTTTATAGTTAAAAGAACTGGATTCATCTCTGAACAACTTGTTTGTTCTTGTTTTAGATGCAATAATTTGTCAATCTAATTCCCATGCAGTATCACAATCTACTACTTTGCCCAAGAAGGAGCTAATGGTGATCTCTCCCCAGTGTATGCGGATATGCACGCACCAAAAAGGTTCCCTTTCCAGAAAGGGTTCGGACAGGAGTTTCATCAACCTGCAGGTTCTGGTATTGATTTAGGGTTTTTTGAGTTAGATGATCTCTCTAAGCCATTAAATGGAGATATCTTCCCATTGGTTATCTATGCCGAGGCTTGCCCACAGACTCAGCTGATGGATGAACAAGTTGGTAATTGTAAAACTGCTACATGTGCGCAGATTACTCAAGCTATCATACAAAAGTCTAATAATGAGCCTTTTCAAGCAAAGGTTGTAAAGCAGATATTGTGGGCAAATGGTGAACGCTACGAATTGCAAGAAATATTTGGTATTGCCGACTCAGTAGAAGCGGAAGCAGAATCTAATGATGATAATGCGCATGACATGGGAAAAGAATGTGTAATTTGTTTGTCTGAACCGAGGAGTACTGCAGTGTTACCTTGTCGGCATATGGTGAGGAACTAATATTTCCTTCTGCTATTTTTCATAGTCTTGTTTCAGTTGGTAATGGTTAGTGTAATCAAGGTCATCCTCTTGATCGGCAGAGTAATTGAATTCAATGTCTTCTGCAGTGTATGTGCAGTGAATGTGCGAAAGCATTACGGCTTCAATCAAATAAGTGTCCAGTGTGTCGCCAACCTGTTGAGAAGCTAATGGAGATTAATGTGAAGAAGGCTGACCATTAAAAAGCTTTCATCAATGCCTTTTGGTAGGACTTTTGTAAAGTAAAAAATAAAGTAAAATATTATAGTGGTCAGCTTAATTTTTACAGTGACAAGTGGAGTCCCTTATTTCTTTCAATCTCTTGTATTTGCATACCCTAATCCCTTTGGTTGTTTGCTGATGTTTTCTATCAAATGGATATAAATTATAATTCAATTCTGTTATACCTGTTAATGCATTTTTCATAATTCTTGAAAAGATTATAATTTTTTTTAAATTCAAGTCCGGTTACAAACTCCTGTTGTTAAGGCATATGAATGACATGGACATGAACTCCTTTTTTTTCGTTTCTTTTGCCTTCTTTCATTTACTGATTGAATAAAGCTGCAGGTGGAGACCTTTGGCCTCTTCCATTTTCTGAGAAAGAGACGAAGAAAGAAAATATATGGACATGAGCATATATATACTATTGTTACTTGCCTGGCAGTACCTTTTTTTTAAAACAAAATTTTGAACCGACGGATATTGATTGTACATTTGTTTTCACGTTATCTGCTGAATCCTAATATAAATAAATATGTACATGATATGCACATTGAATAGTAATGAGTACACCCTCAGGTAAGTTCTGTATAGTTTCTATAAAAAATATTTTCTTCATGGTACTGGGAGCATGCTAGTCTTGATCTTATTATCCTTTTAGGTTGAAGTAGGTTATTTGCGATCCAGTATAGTACTAATTTGAGTTGTGAGGTAAGTTTGTCAACAGGAAGTGTTTGACGTATAGTTTAAATTTGGACTACAAATAAGACCATGATCTACAGCCCAGACCAGCAGTGCAGACCAAAGGGCCTATCATAGATAATAGTACAGAGAGAGAACGCTCTCAAAACTCCTGGACACACTATAATGCTCTATCATGGGCTGAAACTCTTTGGAGAAAAACAGCTTCAACTTTGTTTCAATCAACCTCATTGTTGGGCTCATGTAAAACAAAGAAGTTCATTTTCGCTCTTACGTATTATTATTATATATTATACTAGTATTTTCGCCCGTGCTAAGCACATTCTTATTACAATTCATCTATATTTCATTGTGTTTCAATCACTCTTATCCGAATATAATTTTAAAGATCTAATGACTCAACCCCCTTCGAAGCACACCCTCCCGCATATCCATTGAGGCTAGAGAACATGCCCCCACATAGAAATAATGATATTAAATAATTTATATAAAGCTATAATTAAAATTAAGATAATTTAAACTAATTTTTTCATAATAAATGAATAAAATGAAGATAATCAAATTATACCTAAATGCAACTTGAATGAAATTAAGTTACATGATAGTTTAATGTTCAAAAAATATTACTCGCAAATGATGCATTAGAAAAAAAAAGTTCTCAATCAATTAACCAATCTTAAGATGCAATAAGAAAAATATTAAGAAAAGCTTCAATATTTTTTTTTATTTTTCTCTGTCTTAATCCTCTTCTTCAAGATTGAAAGGGCTGGTTCTTTGTCTATTTCTACAAAATAAAAAACATGTTTATTTAGTAAAATTAACATTAAAAAATTATATATTAAAATTAATTGATGTATTAAAAGTAACTAATGTACAACAAAACTAAAAATAAATACTTAAATTTAAACCTCTTAAATTCAATTATATAATAATATATTAAAAGTAAATAAATAATAATTTAATAAATCGGTAACTAAATGTTAATTTTAGTTTCATAATAATAATTTAAATAAATAAATATAAATATAACAAATCCATAAAAAATATTTAATTTTAAATACTATAAATCACATTTTCATGAAACATTAAATAAATTCATAAATAAGTAATAAATAATATAATTACGTTTTAATAATAATATATTAAATAATAAAATTATTATGAAGATATTAAACATTAAATACACTAAATTATTTAGGTAAACATTTTAATTTCAGAAATATTTAGAAAATAAAAATTAAATTTTCACAGTTATATAAAATATAAAATAAAAAATTCTAATTAAAATTTCAAATTCAAAAAAATAAATTATTTTGATTAATATTATAAAAATTTAAGATTATTTTAATTATAGAAATATTTAAATAACCAAAAATATATTTTCACAGCTATCTAAAAACGGAATAAAATCCAAATTAAATTTAGAAATTAGGAAAATAAAATTTTCCAACTAAATAAAAATGAAAAAAATCAAAATAAAATTTATAAATTCGGTAACTAAATTATTTGGGTAAAATTTATAACTTCAGAATTATTTAAAAAATATGAATTAAATTTTCACAATAGTAAATACGATCTAAATTAGGTAGTGAAATTAAAGTGAAATTTGGTAGTTTAAATCGGTAAATTGTATTTGATAATATTAATTAGGTAATTTGAATTTTATTTTAATTATGGTATTATTTTAGAAATTTTTTAATTAAAATAGTTTCAAATTTTTTGTACGCGATCTAAATCATGTAGTTGAATTAAAGCAAGATTTGATAGTTAAAATAGGTAACTTGTATTTCATAAGATTAATTTGGTAATTTAAAATTTACTAAAATTTTGGTAATATTTTAAATAAAAATTTGAAGTATAATAATTTAAAAAATTTTGAACACGTTCTAAATTAGGTAGTTAAATTAAAGCAAGATTTATAGTTTTAAATTGGTAATTTGAATTTGGTAAGATTAATTTGCTAATTTAAAATTTACTAAAATTTTGTATTATTTTAAAATTAAAATAATTTAAAATTTTTTGAACATGATCTAAGTTAGGTAGCTAAATTAAATTAAGATTTGATAATTTAAAATTAAATAAAATTTTGGTATTATTTAATTCAAAAGTTGTTGACATGAATTCAGTAACTAAAATCATGAAATCCAAAGTTGTTGACATAAATTTGGTAACTAAATTATTTAGGTAAATTTTTTAATTTTAGAAATATTTTAAAAATGCTAACTAAAATTTCACAATTATGTAAAAATAAAAAATAAAAAACTCTCATTAAAATTTTAAATTCGAAAACTAAATTATTTTGATTAAAAGTTAAAACTTTATGATTAGTTTCATTATATAAATATTTTAAATAACCAAAAATATGTTTTCAAGGCTATCTAAAAATAGATCAAAATCCAAATTAAATTTAAAAATTAGGAAAATAAAAATTTCCAATGATCTAAAAATGAAAAAGAATTCTAACTGCTGATGTCAGTTATCAAACATTTGGTCTATGTTAGAGTTATGTGAGTGTTTAGCGTCCTCAAACTTCTTTAGATGACTAGTTCCAGAGCCTGTTGTTCGTCCATGGACATGAATAGGGGTGGGCAAAAACCGAAAAAAACTGGTTCAACCGAAAAAACCGCTCGAAAAAGCGGGCCGGTTAACCGAACCGGATTAAATGGATGAGAAGAAGACTCTAAACCGCCCGAACCGAATTAAACCGGTTTGGATCCGGTTTGAATCCCTGAACCGCCTGAAAAAAAACCGAACCGAATTTTCTAATTCGTTCTTTGTCGGATATTCATATTGCTCAAAATGAGAAGGACTTCGTCGTTCGGAATTCGGTCAAAATGGAAAGGACTTTTGGTTCGGACGAAGTCGGATGGAATAGTTTTCTTATTAGTGAGTCATCACTTGAACATTAAGCTATATAATTGCTCGGTAATTTGATTGTTATGTTTACATACATGTTTATATTGTATAGTTCCTTTTTCATTGGGCCTGCTAGCGTATATGCCCGCATTAAAATCGGTGAAACCTCATATAAGCTTTCAAATTCTACTAGAGGCATGTTAAGTTGTTTTCCAAGAAATGAAAGATAACCTTTTGATTATAGTTAATTAATATTTGAATGTTACGTAACCATATGTACTTGTTGATATGGTTTGCGCTCATTTCACTGATTTCGGTTTTTTGTTAGCTGTGACAATGGTGTTACTTCAAACAAGCTCCACATTTCATTGTTTGGGGGAAAAAGTTAAGTAGACAAAATGGACAAATAATGATACTTCATCAGAAATTAATAGGCAATGATCTCAGGTGTGGGCAGATTTTTGTGAAATAGTATTAATTCGGTCCAAAACCGAAACCGATCCGAACCGATCCGAATTTCGGTTGGACCGAATATTCGGATGAAGGGAAAAAAATCTGGATCTGGATGAGAGTTTTGAGAATTCGAAAAATTCGGATTAGATGCGGATTGAGCTTAAAACCGATCCGAACCGAATATGCCCAGCCCTAGACATGAAAATTTTGTGAGAGGGCGGAGTTGGGTTTTCCGGTTGTTTCTCCGACGACCAAATCAGTATTTTGATCTTAAGGGGGAAAATGAAGGACAAAGTGTAAGTAGACATTAAGTTGCTAAAACGTAGCAGAAGTTATCCCATGTAGTGTAGCTCTCTTTTATAGCAGATCGGAGGGGTATGAAGGTAGCTTCGGTCGAGTGCAGGCAAGCTGTTGAGTCGGCATGTACCTTCCAGGTGTCAGTCGTGGGAGAAAGTGAGTCATCTGGTTATTTAATGAAGGAATGACGACGGATGTTGAGAGCTGACTGGGCTTGATGAGTCATAAAGACTATGGGGGTTAGAGAAATGATGATTTTGTCAAAGCAGTTAATGCCAGAGCAGTCGGCTAGCGAGGGGTTCAAGGTAATTGCCGCTTCTCTGTTGGTTTGGTCCAGGGCCGAAAAGCACCGCCTTTTGCCTCAGCTTTGCAAGTTGTCGGCCCATAGGATCGGTCGAGTGGGGTGGCCGACAAGTACTACCTCTTGACTCGGGTACACAATTTGTCAGTTCATAGTGTTGGCTGTAGGAGTAGCTTTTAGTCGTCTTAGCCTCAATTCGCATAATTTAGGCGAGGAGTAAAACACGTGTCGGTTTCTCTAGGGAGATTAGTACTTGTTAATTTTCTAGGTTATAACACAAAGTATTTTAATCCCAGCTACAAGTCAAATGCAGGATCTTGAAAACTTTAAAGGGTCTTGTAGAGAGTTAAAAAATACTCTCTCTTAAACCAATGCTCAGTTCGA